CCTGCTCTGGGTGACCCTGCTTGGGCAGGGGGTTGGGCTGGGTGACCCACAGAGGGCCCTGCCAACCCCGACCATTCTGTGATTCTGTGGGTTATTCAGCATGCAAGAGCCAAAGCTCGGGGAGGATTCTCCTAAGCGCTACCAACGTCCCCTAGAAATGGAGAGTTCTTCTCCCGGAGCTCTTCACACCCAGCAAAGAGATCGACAGCTCCCATTTTTCCCTACTTTTCGGAAAAGAGGGGGGTAAAACCCGGCGCTTTCCTTACCTTGGTGGGGAAATAGCGGCTGAATTTGAATTTTTTCAGGGTCAAGGTCATGGAGTAGGTCCCGAAGAAGAGGATGAAGGACATCAGGGCCAGGTCGGGCACGAATTTACAGGATTTCCCCACCAAGCTGCCGCCGTATTTGAGACACTCCTTCTTACTCAGCTGAGTCCAGTCCAGAGCTGTCAGGTTAATAGCATTGTACTGGGGAGAAACGCCCCCCAGAAAAGCAAAATTAGCATTTTAAGGAATTGTGGTGTGCAAGGAAAGGGGTAGTTCTCAACCAAATAAAGCAAAATCAGAAATTCTAGCAGTTGGGGCATGCAGGGAAAGGGATATTCCTGGCCAAATCCCCCAAATCAGCATTTGAAGGGATTGCAGTGTGCAAGGGAGGGGGGATTTCCCCACCAAAAAAATGCAAAATTAGCATTTTAAGGAATTGCAGTGTGGAAGAAAAGGGGCATTTCACAGGGCTGCTGCCTCCGGGAGCCGCATAACCACAGAGAAAACTCCAGAGCCGCTATTAATTTGGGCAAAAAAACGGGGGTTTGGTGCCGCTGACCCCAACCGCGAACCCGAATCGATGCGAATCCCGCGTTTCCCTCGCTCCCCGGATGCGAAAGTCCCTGGGATTTACCCTCCCTGGTCCCAGATTTCCCACCGGGATGAGCAAACCCGCTTACCAGAGAAACGTTAGTGGTGTTCGGTGCCACTGGAGCTGAAGCATCGAACAAGGTCGCGTTGGCTGCGGGAAAGGAGTTTGTTATTGAGGTTTTTGGCTAATATCGAGGTTTCGGTACTAAAAGCAGCCGGGCTTCACCCGGAGAGGCACGGCTCAGCCCAGCCGGCGCAAAAGCAAACGCAGGGTCGAGCACATCCTCCAAGAGCCACGCGGGGGACGGCATCCCGAGGGCGGAGCAGGATTTGGGGAGAAAACCCCCCATTTCTAACCCCGCAGCGGCTTCTCCCTGATTAATCCCATGCGCCGGCGGAGAACACGGCTTCTCCTTTGGAGGCTTCTCCCTCTGGGGCTGCCCAGGGCCGGCGTGGGGATGAT